ACCAGCTGGCCCGTGCCGTTTGTTCAGCGCTTCCCTGAACTGCCTCGAATTTCAGTGTTTACTCTTGAGAAACTCCCTTGGGTGGCCCGGGTGCAGGGGCTCTGGCCGGCAGCCTGCCTCAGCCAGGGGGCCCTGCAAGAACCAGGGGCTGCAGGGCAGGGCCTGAAAGCGTGATGCTGCGTCGCTGCTGCTGCTGCTGCCGCTGCCTTTTCTTGAGCTCGTGGAGGAGAGGCCTGTGGGGCCTGCAAGAATTGCCAAAGTGCTTTCACACACTGAAATGAAATCTTGCAAGGGGCCAAGGCCACTAAGTTGTGGGTGATGAGGAGCTGCTTTTGACCCACTTGGTGTTGGAACCCTACCCCAGTCCAGCAGGGCCTGGCCAGGTGTCTGCACTTCTGTTGTGACTGGAACCTGCTGGGTAAAGATATGCCCACGTGGTGAGCGGACTCCATGTGGCTCCCAGAACAAGGCAGGGCTGGCCCAGCCCAGAGTGCCCCGCGGAGACCGCTCACTTCTTTCCCAGGGTTCCTTGCCTGGGGTGGAAAGATTCAATTCACTATTGAATCTTTATAGTGACCCCCCCCCCAAAGAGCCCTGCTCCCTTGGCCACCCACCCTGTAGGACACAGAGTGATCCTCCCCACCTGACAGCGTGGGTCGGTGGCTTTAGGGTCGCTCAGCCAGGAGCCCCTTATTTGGAGTCCCGCGCCGCTGGGCCCTGTAACTGCCCCTTGAGGTGGAGACCTTAGGCAGGGGCTCGCTCTTCCTGGCTTGGGGGGCTACCCCTGTGGGTGGTGAGATAGCATATCAGGACAGTGAGAGACATGTGGGTTTGCTTACCTCTGCCATCAGCTAGCTGTGACTTAGGGCACATAACCAAATTGTTCTGTATTAAGCGTTCCCATTTGGAAAGTGGGGGTAATAGTACTAGTGTTGCGGGGTGTGGAGGGCCTCTTTAGGTACTTTGTGTTTAATGCAGCCCCTGGCAGCCTGGAAAGCTGTTGCTGCTTGCCATGGTGACCACCACAGTGTATGAACCTGCTGGTCCAAAGCTGGCCTCCCTTTGGGCGTGGAGGGTGTTGGGCTCCATTCTTTGGGAGGGAATTTAATCAGGTTATAGAAGAGAGACAGGGATTTACTCTGAAGCTGGAAGGTACCGAAACCATCATTCCCAGGTGGCTGACAGCCAGGACAGCGCAGCTCCACAGACCAGCTGTCTCAGGGAAGTCCAGGGAAGGGGCTCTGCTGGGAGTCAGGCGAAGCTGGCCAGCATCCTGGCCCGTTCATGGGGCTGTCGTGTGAACTCCCAGGCAGGTCACTTCCCCTGTCTGGTCTTCCTTCAGTCTCCTTGTCTCTAAGACAGCTATTGGTCCCTGAAATTCCTGCCCTGGGCCAGTGTTCATTGCACCCGTGGTCTGACATGTGACCCCCTGGTTCCTGTCTTTCTGGTGCAAGTTAACTTTAGTTCTTCCTTTGAAACAGAATGGGGAAAACCCATGAGCTCTGATTCTCAGAGCCCGGTTATTGTGAGAAGGAAAACTGGGCTGTGGTGGTGGGGAGCTGGTGTCTCGAGCTGACTGTCTTCAGTGAGGGGTTTCGGAGGGGCAGACCTTCCTCACTGTCCCATGTGGCACCAGCTGGTGGGTGGTCTGTCATGGGAAGTGCTTGGGCCGGGGCTGGAGTGCTTGTTGGAGGCCCTGTGTTGGGGGCGGCGGGTGAGGCAGTCTCTAAGCCCTGTTCTGCTCTGATCCCATCCCCGCTGTGTGGGGCGTGACCCTGGATCTGGGTTAGGCTGGGCTTTTGCTTGGCCCTCATCTGCTCTGAATGCACTTGGACTCAGGTAGTCCTGGGAGGAGAGTGGGAAGGACCACAGGCAAGGCCTGTCCTGGTCTCGGAGCCCTGGGGTCTCACTCATTCACCCCTACTCTGTACCTACCGTGGCCAAGTCCTCCAGGCTCTTAGGACACAACCCTGAGCAAAATGAAAAACATCTCTGCCCTTAGAGGGCTTAAGTGGGGAAGGATACACAGCAGACAGATGGGCAGCTCCAGTCTTGGATAAGTGCCGTGAAGAAGGTCATGCAGGGAAGGGGGTCGGGAGTGATGCTTGGGGCACGGTCCACATAGGATGGCAAAGGGAGCTGTATTTGAGGAGGTGAAACTTGAAGAGGCCTGAATGAAGTGAGGGAGGAGGCCAGGAAGGGATCCGGAGGAAGAACATCCTCGGCCAAGGGAATCACGTCACAGCTCTAGGGCAGGATGAGTTTGGTGAGTTCAAGAAATAGTAACAATGCCAGGGTGGCCCGGAGAGTAGGACTGGGACTGGGGAGACGGGTGGGAGGTGACGTCAGAGATGTGTCCACAGCCTGTGGGCTGCGGCAGGGAGTTTGAATTGTATTCTAAGGGAAAAGGAAGTCAGTGGAGCATTTTGAGGAGGGGAGTGATCTGATCTGGATTTTTAAAGTATTGTTTGAGTTGCTTGGGGAACCTATGGGGTGATGGTGAGGAAGCCCCTGCAGGGACGAAGCATGGACAGGTGGGAGCAGAGAGTGAACACTGTGTGTTTAGAAGGTAGGACTGACAGAGGGTCCTGGTATGTTGAACGTGGAGTTGGAGGGAAAGAGCTGTCAAGCGTGACAAGTGGGAAGTGAGTCATTGGGGACCTTGAGGAATGGTGGGGAGAGACCTCTCCAGGATTGAGTGGACAGTGACTGGTCACCTTCGTGCTTGCTTACTGTGCAGGGTCAGACATTCGGGGAGGGGAGGGAAGAGGTTGTGCACCTCATCAGGAAAGCCTGAGCCCTTCGTGAGCTGGTTCATCCAATGGGAAGACTGAAAAGTGGGAAATCAGCTCGGTGTGGTGGAAAGGACCGCATGTCAGCTCCATAGAGCCTGAGTTCCAGCCGCAGAGGAATCTTTGCCCTCGTCAGCGCAGTGCTGTCTCCAGTGTTTGAGATGGTTCCTGGCACTTAGTCATTGTCTGTTGAATGAATGCACGAGTGAGTAAATGAATGAACTAAACAGAGACTTGGGATCTGGCCCTTCTCCCTCGCTGCTGAACCCAACGTGGTCTGCTCACCTGATGCACAGCAAAGCCAATGTGCTGATACCGGGTGGTGGTGAAGGAAAGTACTGGGTTTACTGCAGGATGCCCAGTGCGGAGAACAGGCAGCTCATGCTCGAAAGACTCCAACTTCCTGATGGCTTTCAGAGAAAGGTTTTTAAGGGCAAGGACCGGGGTGAAGGTTGCAAGATAGGTGATCAGCTCATGGACTTTGTTCAGATTGGTTAGCAGTGAGGTAACAGGGAGATGTTTCAGGAATCTTAATTATCCACCTTCTGGTTCCAGCCAGTCTGGGGTCTATGGGCTTGTGGTCAGATCACCATCCTCAACTGGGTAGCGGTGTTAGTTTCTGCAGAACAGCCTAAAGATAGATTGTTATCTAAATCTCTTCTGAATTAACAAGATTGTCTTATCATGAACAAGTAAATCAGTCAGTCAGTCCCTTCCAGAGGAACTAGGAATCCTGTGACTCTTGTTCTAATCATTAACTGCAGGAGTCTGCTCTTTGGAACTTGGGGGTGGCCAACAAGAAGCAGGGAACATGAGGGGCTTGTATGCAGGAAGGCCCCACAGGGCCCTGCTCAGTTTCAGCCCCCTCTTTTCTTTGACATTCCTCAGTCCTGAGGGGAATGGGGGGCAGGACAAGAAAGGGAATAAAGTTTTGGATAGGGAGATTAGCCATCAACTCAGCAGGGGGCTTGGTTTCAGAGTTTTGGTCTTGGCTCCTCGGCCCCTGCTCTCCTTTATAAAGTAGGGGGATCAGGTCCTGGCAGGGCTCCTTCACTTGGGGTCCACAGAGGAGTCTGTGAACCCTCAGAAATTCCTCCCAAAATACTGGGCATGTGCACATTTTCTGAAAGTGGTCTGGGATCCAGAGGAGGTTGGGAAGCCCCTGGGGCTTTCTTCGAAGGCCATTCCTTCCCGCTCCAGCCTCCCGGGCCTCGCAGTGGCTCCAGTAGGTCGGAGTGTCCTGAGGCTGGAGGCTACACTGAAAAGTTGCAGTCACAGAGTCTCTAGGCCCTGTTGCTTATTATGAGGTACTGATGGATGGCAGCGAAAATGCCAGAAGCGTATAAAGCAGTGAAGCAGAAAAACAAGAGGCTGCTTAATTTGCAGAGACCACGAGATGTTTATTTTGTAAGAGAAAATCCTCCTTGGTGTAGGGACCTTTGAGGTGTATTTGGGGGACCCCCTTTTGTCATGGTGCACATGAGGCAGCCCCAGTGGTTTCCTGCAGGCGAGAGGTCAGGGCTGGGGGGCACTACTTTTCTGGGGTGAACGCATGGCTCAGTGCCCGCCTTTTTTAGTTCAGTAACATGACCCAGCTTTCCCCAGCCCAGGTGGGCCCCGTGCAGAGTGTAGGTACCAAGGGGAGGGGGCTCAGCCTGGTCAGCAAATGACCTGGGCAGCCTCTTGTCCGTGCCTGGAGTCTGTCTCCAGGACTGGAGGCCTGAGGCAGGCGGCAGTAGGGGTGCCCTGTCCTATGCGGGAAAGGCACCTGAGCGGCCGTCAGTCACCAGGGGCGATGTTTCTCACACGCCAGGTAGTGCATTGAAATAAGTAGGGGGGTTTGTGGAAAGGGGGAGAAATGGGACGTGGCCTGATATCTCTAACTCCGTAATCTGTCCTGGACAGTCTGTTCCGGGATCTTTGTCTCTGCTCTCTGGAGCATGGGGTCAGCCAGGGTTGAGGGACTTTGGCCCCGCAGTCAGGGAAGGTAGGTGTGGGCTCTCTGAAGACGCTCACTGTCCTTTGTTCTGGTGTAGAGTCCCTGTCCTCTAGCAGAGGCCAAGGGGCCGCCTTGGCCTGGCTCCACCGAGTCTGGACATGAGCCAGGAACAGCATCCGACTAGCAGTGTGGATGCTCCTTTAAGAAGCACGTCATGGAGCTGGTTTCTGACCTAAATTTGTTTCTCTTTTCCCCCTGCCCCCACTCAGTTGGCTGGAGTTGTCTTCCTCGGAGTCGGACTTTGGGCATGGAGCGAAAAGGTAGGTGTGACCGTCACTAGGACCCTGAGCATCAGTCAGCCCAAGCCAAGTTTGTTCAGCATTAATTATCCCTTCCTGCATACGCCTCCCTGACGAGCATCTCTCGTGCAGGGTAATGATTGGTAGTCATTAATCTTTACAGAGCCGGCTCATGGAAGTTACTGAACTTAGAATGAAAACCCCTGGAGTCCCATGGCTGGCTCTGCTTCCCCGTGGTAGGGTGGCTGCTAGAGATCCAGGCGGGGCTAGTTGGGATTTTGGGCCCTGTGAGCAGAGTCCTCTCTGCTGTTCCCAAGTCACCCAGGGGCTTGTCTGCAGTTGTGTCCAGGGCAGACCTGGGGCTGCCTTCTGGAATGGACGCTGTCTGTGCCCCTCGGAGCCCGCAGGTCCCTGGACACAGTTGTGTTGACTCCCGGAGATCTTGTTCTCGCCCACGGAAGGGACCCCTGAGTCAGGCAGCAGGGCTCTGTGATGTGCCCCCAGGGCACCCTGTGGGGCCGGAGCAGGTCTTTAGCACCTGCCAGCGATCCTTCTTGCCCAGCCTGTGGGAGACAGGAGGGGAAACCAGGCTCTTACTGTCCTGAAGGATAAAGGGCAGTTGGAACGGCAGGGAGGGCCTAGACTGGATGTGGGTAGGGTGGAACCATGGTGCCACCTCTTGCTTTGCAGGTGGGTGGGTTCTGGGGAGGCGGAGAGGCCGGGCAGGAAACAATGGGATGTAAAGCATCTTCCTCTCGGACTCCAGGCCCAGAGCCCTCTCCCTTCAGTGGAACCTCTCCTTGCTTCCAGGAGAAGGAAGCAGGAGTACTTAAGGCTGTGGGCTTTCTTGCCATGGCCTTAGGAACTGGATAAGGTCCGCCTTTGGGTTTGGGCCCCTCTAAGAGCTTGCAGTGCAATGTCACTTTGCCCTAGTGACCGCGCTTCTGGTGCAAACCATGACTCATAGCGCCACCGTGTGACCACTTCTGGAACAGCAGCATCTCAAGCCAACAGAGCCCTGAGCCTAGGCCTGGCTGCCCTGGCTGTCCGGTTCCAGCCGGGTGCCTGGACCAGCTGCTCTTTTCCCCTTCCTCCTTTGGATCCTGTAGAACTGCTCTGCCCATTTCGGGTACCATTAGTCAGATGTGACTAATTCTGTTTAAATTAAAATGAAATAGAAATTAAAACTCAGTTCTTATTTCTACTAGGCCACGTTTCAGGTACTCAGTAGCACATGTGACCAGTGGCTACCATTTTGAGCAGTGCAGAGATGGAACATCTCCATCATCACAAAAAGCTCGTCACACAGCACTGCCTTCATCTGTCCTTGGTTGGATACGTTTTTCACAAGAGTGTTCATATTGAAGCTGTTTTTCATCTTAGGATACTGGGGTTCTCCATGAATTGAGTACAAAGTCAGCTGTCAGATGACCAGAGGCCAGGCTCAGGCCATGGCCCCAGGGTGCCTTGACCACAGGCCACAAGGCCCCTCAGAGCCCCCTCCACCCCAGGCCTGGGCATTGGCACCCTGCAGGCCACAAAAGAAGTGTGGGGTCTGCCTGAGAGGAGCTCACAGCCTAGACAGAGACTGGGAACAGGAGGGCACCTGGGGGCCAAGGTAGGCAAAGATCTGCTGGGCAGAGGGGCCTCTAAGGGGGCAGGCGGGCAGGGGCCAGGCTCTGGCCTGGCTTTTAATGACTGAGCTTCAGAAGGCTGGTCTCTGTCCTCATTTAGTTCTGAACCCAGGCTCCCCCCTCCCCCCCGCCCCCGCCGGGCACCCCTGACTCTCTGAGGCTGATGTTGCCCCGCTCTCTCTGCTTCTTTCAGGGCGTGCTGTCCGACCTCACCAAAGTGACCCGGATGCATGGAATCGACCCTGTGGTGCTGGTGCTGATGGTGGGCGTGGTGATGTTCACACTGGGCTTCGCTGGCTGTGTGGGGGCCCTGCGGGAGAACATCTGCCTGCTCAACTTTGTGAGTGGCCCCAGATGTGGTGGGGGGAGATGGGGTGGGATAGGGACATACGCTCTGCTGGGCGGGCTTAGCCCTTATCTGGTTGGAGGGGTAGCAGCTCTTACAGGCCTCCCCCAGGATCTGCCAGTGGCCTGGAGGAGGCTGCCCTTTGCACTCTGCTGCCCCCCCGAAAGGTGAGATTTCAGGAAAATGATGAACTAGCTCGGCATCCCTGGAGAAGCCGGGGTCCCTCTGGTTTTCAGCTCCTGGTGGGTGGAGCCGGCTGCTTGCCAGCCTGCTCCCTTTTATATTCCTTCTGACGTGCTAAAGGCGTTGTTTGTTTGCTACTCACCTTTGCCCTTCCTGGCTAAGATCAAAAGACCTTGCTGGTAATGTTAGGAAACCTCTTCCCCCCTCTAGGGTATGAGTCTGTTGGATGTGCAATGCAGAATCCATAATTTCCTGGCAGAACTTCAGGTTACTAAGAGTTTAGTTTTATATTTAGATAGACGTTCATTTTGAAATGCATTCAGTTAAAATTAAAAAGCACCTGGTAGGGAAAACACATCATCGTTGTTGTTGAATTTATTCGATCAAGCTTTTCTTTTCTGGGCTTAATTTCAAAGCCAAACACGTGGGGATTGTTTGTTTTGTTTTGTTTTTTAATTTTTTTTCTCTTGCAATTATTGTGTTTGGTTATCTTGCTCCTATGTGAATGGAGATTCCATTCTGGAGGGCCCCGGGTGTGTGTCTGTTTGTATGTATGCGTGTCTTATTTTGAGATATCTGCCGGTTGTGGTGTAACTGCTCAGTGTACTGCATGGCCGGTGATGATGGCTGTGATAACACCAGCTCTGCAGGCTGGAAGGCAGCCTCGACGGGAGGGGCTGTGGACCTGTGGCTGCACTGGCCCTTGCAGAATTCCACTGCTCTCGTGGCCAGGGGCAGCTGTGCTTCTGGAGAGGTCTTTATAAAGTTGATGCACATACCGAGTAGGGACTGATAAACTGAGGTGAGCCTCAGTTTCCTTATCCCTGAAGTGGGAGTGACAGATTTCTAGCAGCGGGATGGTGGTGTGGGCGAGGAGAGTGGTCAGACCGTGTGTCCTAAAGGGGCGGATCGCCTGCTGGGGTAGGAGAGCCATTCGTTCCCTTGATGGGGTGTCCTTGTTGGAGGAGGGAGATGGTTGACACTCTGTCTTGGCACTTTCTTTCTCGTACTTTTGCTCATCTGACTTGTACCGACAGTGCAGTGACCTGGGTAGGGATGACTATCTCGGTTTTATGGATGAGGTGGAGTTGTCCAGAGTACCCAGCTAATAACATGGGATTCCCAGGGCCCCAGCTCGGTCTCTTGGGTGCCGGCCCATGCCCTCAGCGACAGACAGCAGTTCTGGGTCAGATGAGGGTGACCCCCCCCGTCCCCCGTGTCGCCCCTGCAGTTCTGCAGTGCCATTGTGCTCATCTTCTTCCTGGAGCTGGCCGTGGCCGTGCTGGCCTTCCTCTTCCAGGACTGGGTGAGGGACCGGTTCCGGGAGTTCTTCGAGAGCAACATCAGATCCTACCGGGACGACATTGACCTGCAGAACCTCATCGACTCCCTTCAGAAAGCTGTAAGTACCAGCCCCAGCCTTCTCCCCAGTACAGCCCGGCTGTCCTGTCTTCAGTCTGTGTGTGGGGGGGACACGGGCCCCCCTCCTCAGCTCTGCCCACAGTGGGGAGGCCATGGGAGGGCCACCTCCACCGCTGGTCAAGTTAGCTTTGCCTGCTTATGGATGCTGACGGGCCAGGCTTGCTGTCAGGGTGCCCTCCCCCATTTGCTTTGGGCAGGTAGTCCAGCTGCATCTGTGGCCACCCTCCCCTGCGGGGCCCAGATCTCTCCAACCCTGACCATGCAGGCGGCTGCAATTCCCTGGGTGCTGTGGGCGCCGAGGGGCAGAGCTGAGTGCGTGACTCCCTGTCTGAGGCTATTCCTGTCCGTTCCTCTCTGGGACCTTTTCCCCTTCCTGTCTGAGAGGGCAGAGCTGCCTGGAGGAACTTCCTCAGAGGGAGAGGAATGTAACCTCCCTGGAATATGTCCCCAGGGGTTTGTCTAAGCAGTCCCAGGCTGTGGCCTTTTCTCCATCTGGTCTCCATCCCTCCTGTGTGAGGCTGCACCTGGAGGCTGTGGGACCACAGCCACCCCCACCATCAGCTCCGTTCCCCAGAAGGACCCCATTGCCCACCATGCTGGCCAGTGCATGGGTCTGCCAGGAAACCTGGCTTCCTCAGGAACTTTTTATATGGAACCCTTTGGTTCTGAGAAGAAAATAAATTAGCCTTAAAAACAACTCTGATCCATTCTGTTCATTGACCAAAACTTGTTTACCCTTATTGCATGTATCATGGGATCAGCAAAACCCATTTATGTGACCAGGGACCCTTCCTGTGCTAGTAGCGACCTGTATTCGTCTGTGAAAGTCCCTCATTCCTCCCTCTTCTGACGCCCCTCCCTTGCTGTGCCTCCTTCAAGGCAGTGGTTCTGTTTCCACGTAGCCGTGGGCTTGCTTGTGTCAAGGATGCTGGGGTGGTTCCTTCCTGCACTGGCCTTCAAGACACTGTAGTTTTCTCCATTGCCCTCTCATTAAAAATACCTTAACCAGAGTAAATTATAGTGCATCCTTGTGGTGAAATGTTAGATTAGAGTTAGAGCCCCTGGAACCATGGAGGGGTGGGGGCTGGGGCAAGGGTAGGGGAGACAGGATTTTTACCTCGGAAATGGAGAGTGAGGCAGAAATCCTGGTTGTGGGCTTGTGATTCTGGCCATCGCCACATCAGCTGTGAGGACAAGTGCAAAAGTGACACCTGCTCTTGGGTTGGAATGCCACTGACGTCACAGTGTCACTTTCACTGTGTTTGGTTTTATGATTTGTTTTTTAGACAAGTGGGGGTTCTCTTTGCTGCTTCCCCAGATAGTGGGAGGTTGTGGGGAGGGAGGGCGGAGACCCCGGGTCGGGGCTGAGCTCTGATTGCGTCAGCATCACCCCAGTTGTAACTCTTCCTGGGGAGCAGACGTTCTACAGCTGTCTTCTGTAGAGAGGCACGAAGGTGACTGGGGCCCGCTTGGATGGTTCTTGGGGAGGAAGACACACTGCCCACAGGGCCAGGGAGGTGTTTTCTTGAGGGGAAGTAGAGGACCACATCGGAATGAGAGCAGGAAGCCCGCTCTGGAATTGGCAGGTGGAGGGTGGGCATTTGGGGAGGGAGGGAAAGTTCCACTGTGAGGAGGGAGTGGATCAGAGGCCAGGGGATGCCACGGAGCCAGCCAGTGTGTTGGGCCCAGACAGGATGCAATTTCCTTCTTAAAAGGCCACCTGGGTCACCTCATTCACATCTCTGTGAGGGGAGGTCCCTGGGGTGGGCTTTGAATCTCTGTGCGGTACACGGCGGTGCACTTAGCCTCGTGTCCCTAAGACTGATGCCCTGTGCCGAGTAGCCACAGCCCCAGCCCGGGCTCCAATGGCTCTTGGCTTTGTGATTGCAGAACCAGTGCTGCGGGGCATACGGCCCTGAAGATTGGGACCTCAACGTCTATTTCAACTGCAGTGGCGCCAGCTACAGCCGCGAGAAGTGTGGGGTGCCCTTCTCCTGCTGTGTGCCGGACCCCGCGGTGAGTCGGTCCCCCAGGAGCAGAGCAGTCCCTGCCTCCCTGAGGGCTCTGGCTGCCTCGCTTCTGCAGGTGGAATGAGCGCCCGGCTCCCCCTCTGCTTACCCCAGGGCTCTTGCAGCTCTGAAATCCTTGATGTGTAAATTCTGGGAACATATTTGCACGGCTCACCCTGGCTCTAGTGTTCTGGGTGAAGCAGGAAGAAAAAGTGTTACGCCTCCTGAGACGGGCTCTCCCTTGGGGGACCTGGACAGGATGCTGTGACTGTATTGAACCCTGGTCTCCTTGTGCCGGAGAAGACACTCAGTCAGAGAAGCCCACCATCTGGGGTGGGGCAGAATTCTCTCCCGTTCTTTCTTCTTTACCTGTTTCATCCCCAGTCTGTGACCCAGGTCCTTGGGTTCTGGAAACTGAGCTCTTGGGTGTCCTTGAAGGAAAGCTAAGGGTTTACCTGAACTGAGCCCGAGCAGAGGGGAGCCCTTACTGCTCTCCGTGCAGTCACGCTGGCTGGTGCTGGTGGACACGGCGGCGTCGCCGCAGCATGGGCGGGTTCCCCAGCCCGGGAGAGGCTCAGGGCTGCGGAGGTTCCACAGCCGGGGGCTGACGTTCCCACTGGGACTGTGACATCTTTAGCAGGGCGACTTTTCCTTTCTGGCACAGGGGTTGGCAGCTCTGACCTGTGCACCAAATCTGGCCTGCTGTCTGTTTTTGAATGACCTGCAAGCCAAGAATGGTTTCAGCCATTTTTTTAAATGGTTGAAAAGAAATCAAAAGAAGGATAACATTTTGTGACATGTGAAAATTCAAATTTCAGTGTTTGTAAAGTTTTCTTGAAATACAGCCATACCCGTTCATTTATATATTGTCAGTGGCTGTGTTTATGCTACAACAGGAGAGCTAAGTAGGAGCTACACAGACAAGTCTAAGTATTTACTGTCTAGCCCTTCACACAGAAGACTTGCCACCCCCTGTCCTAACACGGAACGTTAGTTGGCAGCGTGATGGAAGGGCGTGAGCTGAAATGGAGTCGGTACAGCTGTTTGGTGGAAGCCTTCTACCACTGGCTTCTCAAAAGCACAAAAATAACTCATCTTTTCTTCTGCTTTTCTTACAGCAAAAAGTTGTGAATACACAGTGTGGCTATGATGTCAGGACTCAGGTGAGAGCCCCAATGCATATAACTTTGAATTCTTTAGGCTTATTCCCTAGCGTCCAACTTCCTGATTTAGCACAAGTGCAGACTGGAGTGGGAAAGCCAGGGGAGCCTAAGCCCACGGGTGCCACCTAAGCCGGGAGCGAGGCGGGCGGAGCGCACCGCCGCACACACACCCTCCTCAAGTGGGTGGCAAGACTCACGGGAACAGTGATGGCTGTGATTCAAGCCTTGTGAACCACAGTCACAAAATCTAGCAGTTGCTACATTAATGGAAAGAGGTCGGACGGAAGTTTTCCGGGACAGAGACCATGTTCTTAAGAGCCTCTTTGGAGTCCTAGGAGGTGTCTGTTATAGGGGTTCAGGATGGGGCTGCAGGAGCGTATGGCTGGTCCAGTGGTCTGCCGCTGCTGAATGGAGGTGGTGGTGACGATGAGGAGTGAGACGGGGCTCATGGCAGGAGCAGGGCCCAGTCCTCTAGGCCTTCTTCAGGCCACAGGAAGTGTGCATTTGGATGTGAAGAGGAGTGAGTCCCCACCCCAGTCCTTGCTCTGGTGGCCTTCAGTGATGTGAATAACAGCTGTTCTGAAGGGGAGGGGTCTCTGGGAACCTGCAGACACCTCTCCTGTTGGCCAGGACACTAGGGATGTGACCCTCCAGTTTGGGAAACCTCGGCTTCTTCTGCAGTGACCTCCGCTTCACAGGGATGCTGTGTCCGCATCAGCTTCTCCAGTTACAGATTTCGTTGCCACTCGTGTTAGTTCCTAGGTCTGACATAACAAAGCACCCAGACCGTGTGGTTGAAGTAACAGGTTTATTTTCCCACAGTTCTGGAGGCTAGAAGTCCAAGATCAAGGTGCCAGCAGGGTGGGTCCCTTCTGAGGACCCCCCTCCTTGGCTTGTAGGTGGTACCTTCTCCCTGTGTCCTCGCATGGGCTTCCCTCTGTGTCTCTTGGTGTCCTGATCTCTTCTTCTTGTAAGGACACCAGTCATATTGGATTAGGTCCCACCCCAATGACCTCATCTTAATTTATTTACTTCTTTAAATACCCTGTCCCCAAATACAGTCACATTCTGAGGTCTTGGGGGCCAGGACTTTAACATACAAATTTTAGGGAGACACAGTTCAGCCCCTAACACTGCTAAAATGAATGACTGTTCCGTTACTGTTTCATGGAAGAGGCTGATGGGTGAGGGGGCCGGGGCTGATTGCTGTGTGTGGGGTGGGTGGGGATGCAGTGTATGTGCTGTGGCCACATCCCAGCATGCTTAGCGAGCCTCCGCCAGGGGTCAGGATCAGAAAGCGCTTATGACTTCTCCTGCTGGCTTTGGCTCCTAGAGCCAGGCTTGCCTGGCTGGGATCACAGTCTGAGAAGCCACTGTCCCTTTCTTCTCCTGCTTCTTTCTGAAGATAGTGAACCCTCTTCCCCCAGTTTTCTCTCTTTAAGGCACACTTTCCTTCTCCAAGCCTTCCAACCCCTTCCCCTTTCTCCAGATGAGGGCTGTGGCGGTGTGTTGAACAAGTTGATCTTGAAATCTGTGGAGGCCCTAACAGAAAGGAGTTAAAGATCATAGCCAGGGAGCCTTTGGTTAGGCAGGTTATAAAACTCAAGCTGTCCAGGGAAGGGCAGAGACCGAGGCAAGTAGATGCGTTTCTCCTGGAGAGTTTTCTTGTCTGTCCGTCCTCGGCGCCTGCCTCCCAGATTTCTTATTCTCCCCGAGCCTTGTCCTTCCCCCAGCGGGAGCCCTCTGGGGAACCAGGTTGGGGACCGCCTGTGTGTCGCGGGCTCAGGCGGCTGTGATGCTTCCCTGCAGCTGAAGAGCAAGTGGGACGAGTCCATTTTCACGAAAGGCTGCATCCAGGCGCTGGAGGGCTGGCTCCCGCGGAACATCTACATCGTGGCTGGCGTCTTCATCGCCATCTCACTGCTGCAGGTTTGTTCCCACCACCCTTTGTGGCTGCCTTGCCCACCTTGTGGCTGCACCTGGCCTTGTGAACCAGATTCCACACGTGGAAAGATGCTGGTGGCGGAGGGCGCGGTGAGGCCAGGGTGAGCAGGCTGGCTGGTGTCTGCCTGGAGAGGAACTGGCAGGAGGAAGAATTTACAGTGGGGCAGAAAAAAGCAAAATTCCTAAGGTGACCAAGTTCATGTGAGTCTGTTTCTGGTAGAAGGACATCAGTCTCCCCACATGATTATCCTGGTCACTGAGGTCAGAATGTAGCTTCAGACATCAGCGCAGCCCAAATCGGGGACACCCTTACTTTTATTATGGAACCCAGGTTTACAGGAAACATTCAAGATTTATTATTTTGGGAATCAGAACCAGTCAGGGTGACCCTGCTATTTTCGGTTTCACCCGAGTTACAAAGTGTGTCCCAGCCCGTGGTATGTGACATGCGTGGCCCTGCCGGAGGCAGGGCAGAACGTCTGTTTTGCTTCTGTGGGGACTGCTGTTTGCCCCTTCTAGGCTCTAGGGACACAGCAGAGTCGACCCCGGGGCTCATTTGTTTTAACTGTGGGTTGGTCCCCTTTGCTGCCTGCGCAGTTGTGGCTCCTTGTGTCCTCAGGCTCTGCCCCTCCTCGCCCTTTGGGCCCTAACACTGACTGCCACCTCTGCTGGCTTTGTTTTCAGATATTCGGCATCTTCCTGGCGAGGACCCTGATCTCGGACATCGAGGCGGTGAAGGCAGGCCACCACTTCTGAGGAGCCACTTCGTCCGAGCAGAGCTGAGCCGTGCTGTGGAGGCCGAAGCCCTTCACCGCCCTCAACTTTATGTCCAGAGGGAGAGAAATGGACGCACCCGGCCAGAGCCAGCACCCATCTTCAGTATCAGCGTGATGTGACCTCTCTGTTTCTACTTGCTGGTGCTGAAGACCGAGGGCCCCCCCCACCTGCACAGACCTGTCACCAAGACCCCCACCCTGGGGTCTTCCCAGAGTCAGAGGATGTGTCTTTAAGTCGGGGAGGTGACTCTGAGGGACAGACAGCTCTCAAGGCTGTGAGGACGGCTCAGCCCGGTCCTTCTGGGGCCCAAGTGCATCTGCACCCTGGCCTCCTCACCACCCACGTCATCGGTGCTGGCTTGGAGGGCAGTGGGGCGGGGCTGGGGGGCCAGCCGGCCTTGGCAAGACTTCCCGCAGCAGCACAGGGGCGCTGCCTGTGCCCTCTGAGTGCACAAGCCGGGGGTGTTGGCGGGATGCTCAGCCACATCCAACTGAAGGAAGCCTGAGCCAGTGCGTGGGTTGGTGCCACGGGAGTGCCTCGTCCGCCCCTTCCTCCCCCAGGGTAAGAATTGCCTCCGATCTTGACAGCATTATACCCTGATGGCACAAGGAGGTGGTGGACACAGCTCTCCTTTTGCTAAAGTGTGTAAATAGTTTATTTATAGGGGTAAGAATGTTTTCACACCACGTCTTCACTTCCTCTGGCATTCTCCTCTCAACAGCCTTACACAGTGTCTGGGTCTGAAGCCACCCCTTTCAGCTCCCTTGAGTGTCTCCCGAGCCAGCCCCATCAACTTCTCCTTTTCATCCCTGATAGCCCAGCTGCACAGATGTGCCCCCTCTTCTCTACACACCCTCAACACACACCCCCACTGCCCTCCCCGCTCAGCCTCACCGTCTTCTGGTCTTGGTGCTACTGAAACCGTTACCTGGAACTTGAATCCTGACCCTCCCTCACTGCAAGGCCAAGGAGCCCCAGCCAGAGACGGCCAGCCCGAACCCTTTGGCCAGGGCTCTTCTCCAGGCCACGTGCTACGGGCCGGCGGGCCGGCCTGGCATTTGCCTCTCCCTGGAGAGAGAAGCCCTGGAGCCAGGCCCCTGGGCCCTGTGCCGAGCCACAGACCCTAGCCTGCAGCTGCCTAGGGGCTTGGGATGTTTCACTGCTAACTTTCGTGATGACCCCCCACCCCTCGACCGGAATATCTGTGGTCACCGTGTCCTGTCCGGGCGGTTGGGGGCTTGCTCTTAGAAACGATGTCTGACTTGTGTGCCGAAGAGCCCCCCGGGGGTAGATGGGGCGTTCGTGCGTCTTTGGCTGGGCGATACTCTGAACGCTTCTCTGGATCTTGCATTGGCCTGTCCTCATCGTTCAGAGGTGGAGTGCCACCTTCACTTACTGCCCAAGTGTACATGCTCGTGTGGTGTATTCTGGTGGCTGTTTGTTGATGATGTTGGTTTTGTTTTGTTACAATTTTCTCTGTAGACTAGAGGAAAAAGAATGCTTGTTTTTAGGAAGCGTGATGCTTTTCTTTGACTGCCAAACTCTTTTATGGAATATATCTTTCTATTAATGCTGTTGTTTTGATTGCTTTTGTTTCGGGTCACATCAAGAGGGCATTAAGCATCTCTCTCAGCCGCCGAGGGAACCAGTGGGATCGGGTGTGGCTAGGCACAACAGGGAGGTAGATGAAATAAATTTCATTGAGTGCTTTTTAGAGTCCGTGTGCCACTTTCAGTGATCCTTTGTCTGGAGGTTACAACTGGAACAGCTGGCTTGTGGCTTGGTCATGCCCAGCTGGAGCACAAGGTAGAACTTTGACTCCATGGGCCTGGAGGAAACATTATTTTAGCTTCTAACTGTACGGCCTCAGGCAGAAGAGCTTGGGAACACTGGGTTGGAATCCGGGCACTGCTGCTGCATGAGCCACGTGTACTGGCCCATCTGTGGAGGGGGTGAGTGGCAGTGCCCCCCTCACTAGGTACATATGACCCAGCCTGCTGTGGGGGAGTCGGTCCTTAACGCGGTGTGTGGGCGCCGATTGCTCCTGGGCGGCTTCTGCTGGCTCATCTTCTCAGGTGGATCTGGTGGCTGGACCACTTGTGTCTTCACAGGTCACAGCCCAGTTCAGGGTGAAGTCTAGCTGTGACTTTATCAGAGCTGGGTTTGTTTTTCAATTAGGTTACAAAACTTTGTGGCCACTTTCAGTCATCTCATCTGACTGAGTTTATTGGATAGAAAAGAAATGCAATATAAGGGGTGTTCACGGGGCATCTCCAACGAACCGGGCTCTTTCTGTGGCGCCACAGTGCAGCCGTCCTGGCCACTCCCCGCCCAGCCGGCCCTGAATCCCCAGCCACTCCCTGTCCTCTCAGACTGGGGTAGAGGCCATTGTGGCCTCTGTCCGTCCCCTCCTGGCTCCTCCTACACTCCCCCTTTAAAGTTTCTGGGTCTTTCCGTATCCTGTCCACTTCCGCCGCACTGTTATTTTCCCCACCTCTCCTTCTCACCCCGTCCCGCGTATCCCCATCCCAGGAAGCTTTCTTGGCCCTCTGCCTTCCCCCCTTTCCTTCCCAGCAGCTGCTTGTCCGGGCTCTCTGTCCCCCTCCCGCCACTGCCGGCTGCTCTCTTCACTTGGCTGAAACTGCTCTCCCCCAGTCACCAGACTCAGTGCCTCTCCCGGCCTCTGCAGCTCCTGCTGCTCTGGCCCACCCCCTCCTCAGAGTCCTCTAATTCTGCGGCCCGAGCTCCCCAGGTCTCTGACCTCCTGCCCATCCTTGTCCTGCCTCCAGCTGCCCGGCCATTGCTCACCGGTCTCCAGGGGCTCCCGTGCCCTCAGGGCAGGGCTGTGAGCCGAGCAGGAAGCCAGCTGCTGTGCTGGGCTTCCCCACATGTATAACAATAAAGACGAATGGACACAGAACTTCCTGGAACACAGGAAGCACTCACAGTACCTATCAGTTAAAAACTGATTCAGTCGCGGGAACAGCTCTGGGAAAGCCATTTTCGTGGCCAAAACATGAGACTTGGAGAAAGGTAAGTTACTGGTCGAGGATTTGGAAGAGCTGGGTTCAAACTCTGGAAGCCTTGCCCCAGAACCTTACCTACAATTGAAGTAGGAGGTTCGGTGCCTACTAGCCCTGATTCTGAGTCTCTGGTTGGCTCCTGCTGAGCAAAACCAGCACCACGGGCAAGGCTGAGAAGCATCAGTTTCTGAGGATTATCCAGTTACTGGGCTCTGTGGCAGGTTGACAAGCATCTGCAGAAAGCCAGAGAGTGCTGATCCCTGCCTCTGTACTTGGATTTGGGTGCCCGGTTTGGTTTGGGGGGGCCTTGGGGGGAGCACGATGTCATTCCCAAGGGGCTCGGCCCCACCCTGCACTGGAGGCCCTGGCTCTGGGCAGCAGGCTCACTTCTCTGCGTGGCCAGAGCTGCCATCCACCCAGCAAGCCTGTGCAGGGCTTTCTCTGCTGGTTGGTGAGGAATCGGACCCAGCCTTCTCTCCAGGAGATACTCTTCTGTAGCTGGCCCGGGATAGTAGTGGGCATGCATGGGAGCGGAGGCCACTGCAATCTTGGGACCCCTGGGAGAGGGCTCCCCAGAAGAGGAGAGAGAGACCCATTCTCTGCAGCAAGGACCACCTGGTTGCTTCTCAGCTAGCTGGCAATCTCACAGGGTGGACTTCAAAGGGACAGAGAAAGGAGAGGGGCTATTACAGTGGTCCTAGCACCCAAGACATCCTCCTGCCCAGGTGTCAGGAGCTCAGCCCTGTCACCTTGTGGTCCAGCGCCCTCAGCTGTTGCAGATGAGCAGGGTGGCTGTATGACCTTCACGGGTGGGCCTTTCCAGCTCAAGGGTCACGTGAGGTCAGACCACAGGGCCACAGGGTATGTAGGATGTCTGCCCCCAAATTGTGGTAACCTGTCCCCAGTGATGATCTTGGAGCTCCTACCACGTGCTTGTCTGTCACCCAGGAGGATGCTGTCCAGCCTCTCAGGGCAGACGGGGCCTCCTGCAGCACCGCTGTCCTTCATCTGGGCTCTCTCTCTAAAAACCCAGAGAACACCTTTAGGGCCTTTTTAGCTCCTTGTAAACTCAACGAGACCTGACTTTTCCTCCTCAAAGACTACAATAAAGGTATATTCATTCTGAAATGCTTTTGGGGTCTCCAGGGTGCCTCAGGAAAATGACATGGGCAGGATGGCACGGCGACAGTGGTGTAACTTTGGGAGGGAGAAAGTTAAGGCTCCATTCAAGTAGATACTGTTCTGGTGAAGTTACCAGTTTTAGATGCCAGTTTTGGAAAAGGAGGAAATCCAAATGCCTTACAACGGCCTGGGAGAATTATTTCCTCTTCAGCAGGAACATCAAAAGCATGGTTTAATAACCACCAAACTAAATTATCACCTCAGACTAATTTTAGCACCTCAAATGACTTTGAAGCTAGTCTCTCTTTTTTTTTGTTGTTGTTTAATTTATATAAAAGTAGAAGCAATTCAAGCACAGAGTGTAAAGTAAAAAGTTTGTGTCCTATTCCCCAGAGACATCCACTGCTAAGTACCCTCGCAGGAAATGTCCAGGCATATTCAAATGTCTTTTACACACATGAAAATCGTGTTTTTACAATTCATCTTACTTACCGTTATCTCAGAAATATTTCTCCGTGGGTGCACACCCGTCCACAGTGCGTTTTCACCGTCCACTGCTGGGCTGCCATGGTTGAGTGAACCTCGCTCGATACTGGGGATTATGTTTACAGTTGCAGGTAACAGAAAACCCAATTCAAACTGGCCTAAACAATGAGGGGAGGTTTTTGGCTCCTAGACCTGGAAACTCCAGAGGTGGGGTGAGTTTCAAGGTATGATCCGAGTGACTCAGTGCTGCCAGCTGGATCTGGTTTCCTTTCCCCAGTCTGCTCTGCGTGTCGCAGTGTCCCCATCGCCCAAGGCGAGACCCCACTGCAGATCACCTTGAGCCTCGCTCTGGTGAGGATGGCGTGGCGGTGAAGTTGAGGGATGGCCCTCTGGGCCCCCTGGGCTTGTCCATCCCACTGAAACCACGTGGTGGGGGAACCAGGCTCCTGTGGGGGCGGGACGGACATTTTCGTCACCTGGTGGTTTTCTCTGAGGAGGGCTTATCAGATCTCCACAGTGTTTTGTTATTAGAATTACTTCCTAGAAGGTTTTTAAGAACGTTTTTCAAACAAGTTCTGCAGGGAGGTGGGCTGACATCATAATGAGGGCTACTCCAGGCTGGGGCGTGCATGTTGCTACCAGACCGTGGCTGGTGTGTGGTGAGGGTGGCCTCGGCACCTGGGATGCATGGGTTGGTTGGGTGGAGGTGGGGTCGGGGGAGAGGTGAGTGAGTGACATCTTCCTCCAGAAGCTCGTGGTCTACAACAGCTCAGATTCCACAGGGAGCCTGAGCAGGGTGGCCCCGCAGTCCCCCTTTGCCTTCGGAGATAACTGGTCAGGTGGGAAAGGGGTGACTTGGGTGGCATCCTTGTGTGTGAGTGCGGGCACACACTGGAGTGCCGCCCCGAGGTTGCCAGGAAGGGAGCTGCAGAGCCTGGGCAGGGAAGCCTGCGATGGGGCTTTGGGGTCCCGATGGCTCACTGCCTGACTGCTGGCTTGATCCCCGTCCTGGAGCAGGACAGCATGCTCTGCTGGGCTCCGCTGGCCTGCGTGGCCACTTCCCCAGACAGGCAGCTACGTGCCAGAGGCAAAACTGGATGAGTGGACTGAGGGTAAGTGGGGAAGGGAGAGGAGCGGGTCTGGGCTCTGCGAGACAGCTTTCCCATGGGGCCGGGTGGGGCTTCCTCTGAGCACCAGGCCGACTGCTCTGGACCAAGACCTGTGCTGTGTGCTGTGGTGGGAAGAGCACTGAGCCTGAGTTTGAACTTGGGCTAGAAAAAAAAAACCAACAAAAACCCTCAAATACAAAACACCACACCCCCACACACAGACAAACAGAAACACCTTAGTGATTCAATTTACCTGTCAAGAGGAAATAATTTGATTTCTTCTTTTCACAAGGTTTCTGGGAGCATTCAATGATTTGATGTAGATGAGAGCGCTTGGTAAACTTGAAGGTGGTGTTGACTCCCCAGCCACCTACTGTGGCTTTTGGCAAGTCACTTAACCTATTTGAGTCTATTCTGTAAAATAAGAATACGAACACCAGAACATGGGGTTGTTTCAAGGATTAAATGAGGTGGATAAAGCATTTAACATAGGTCTAGATTAGTTAGTGTGTACCCCCAAATGACTGCTAATACAATTATTGAGATTTTATCCGAAGCTACCAGTCCCCACCTGCTGAGACGCCTGGGTTCAGGTTGAAATGAAAAACCTGCTTCCCTGCCCTTTTAGGAGCAAGGCTTTGAGCTCTGTAGGGAGCCTCAGCAGGCATATGGAGTTCAAGGTCTGTTTGCTTTCTGTGTCTTAGGGTGGGGAGACGGGAGAGGGGATTTCTTCTCACCTGGAGTGTGGATCCTGCCAGAAACCAACAGAGCCCGACAAGTTGCCCCAGGAGCCCCCAGAGGAAGCAGAGTGGCCCCCGCCTGCCGAGGGAGCCAGGCCGCAGGGGCCGGTCTGAGGGGGCCGGCAGACGGCCACAGCCTGCCTCCGAGGGCTCCAGGAGCGATGCTCTGTGGGGAGAGCAGGGGCTAGAGGAGCTCGGGCTAGAAAGAAGAAAACCCTGGGAACAGGCATTGGATGACATGTTTGGATGCAGGTAGAGGGTCCTGGGGGGGATCTCATCTGGTTCCACTCCCTGTAAGGAGAACAGAGGCCCAGGGAAGTGCTGGGACCTGCCTGAGGCCTCAGAGTGAGTGGCTGAGTCCAGTCCCGAAGCCGAGGCCAAGAGGTCATCCATGCCACTCCGGCCCCTGACAAGTGTGGGTGTCCATCCCCATCGCAGGACAACCTCAGCAGGCCTGGAGCCAGGATGACGTGTGTGTGTGCGTGTGTGTGTGTGTATGTGGAAAAGACAAGTGCATGAGAATTTTCCAGGAGAAAAATCTTTGTGTTTAAAACCATGCAGGTTTTATTTAGACCCCCAAGGTCAGGAGGGCAGCCAGGTAAACAGCACCTCAGGGTCTGTTCTTCGGTGGTGTGAGCCCAGCGGTCTCGCCTCTGTGCTCTGCCTTGTGGTGGCCCTGCATGGGCATGCTGGCCCCTGTCCTCGCCCTCACCGCCCAGACGTTTCAACCTCGCCATGAGCCTGGGGTTGCAGGCCCTGTTTGTAGGTGATTCTTTGGTCCCGGGCCATCGTTCTCTCTTAGCTGGGGGTGGGGAAGGGAGGGTTTGGGTTTTTTTGTTTTTTCAGTTTTAGATCTGTTTTTATTTTGTTCTATTTTTAGAAATCAACACAGCTGTAGTGCTACATGGAAAGAATTGGAGTCATCTCTGGGAGGGACTGAGCACCCCGTCCCTGGAGATGTGCAAACCTCGGCTGGATACCTCCTGTTGGGGGTGATGGATGGGCCTGGGGGTGGGGGTGGCATATGGACCGTGGCAAGTCTTCCCACCCCTGAGAGGCAGTGGTCATTCCCTGTGCTCTTTGTTAGAGGTAATTTTCCAAAAAACAAGCATCACTCATCTAAATATTACATAGACACATGTCAAAGATTTTATTTAACTCACTCATTAAAGGACAGAGCTGGTAAGATGAACAACTAGTTCAAAGAAGAAATCGCAATGAACTGTAAATCTATTCGGCCCTGGGGTGGGGAATACCCTGCAGTCTTTCAGAGGCCCAGACTCCTTCTATCTTGTGACTCCATCCTCTTGCAGGTCTTTGAAGTCATCTCTGGTCAGCTGGAGGCTGGGGAAGAGGGTGAAGATGGAGGGAGGGACAATCTTAGGAATGAGGCCTGGATGGCCTGCACACCACTTGTGCCCATGTTCCATTGACCAGAACTCAGAAGCCGCATTGATCTACCAGGGGTGGGCAAAAGTCTCAGTGTGGGCCAGGAAGAAGAGGTGAGGTCAGGCACCCAGGGCACCAGTGGTCAGTGCCCCGAATCCCACAGCTCAGGGAAGTGAAGGCTGGGACTGGAATCTGCCAGGGCACTGAAGGCCCCATCTGTGCCTGCAGAGAGCTGTTAGCCTAGCTCACGGCCCCTGCTCAGCCTTCTCACTGCTCCAAGGAGGGAGGCAGGCGCTTTGTCAAGCTGGGTGGGTGTGCGGGATCCCACGGGGCCACAGATGTGGTCTGTGAGCCAACCTGGGGGCAGACGGCACGTGAACTCCTGTCAGTGCCCTCCTGGTTTGACCACTGGGGAGGTTGCATGGCCCGGAAGGACTGTCCAGCTGAACGAGCGCCCAGGGGGTCAGGGAGGAGGGATAGGAGAGCAGGAGCATGTAAAGGCTCAACAAGACTTGGGTTTAATTCCTAGGTCATTAGCTATTTGACCTCGACGATAAAATTGACCTTGGGGTAATAAAATTGCCTGCCTCATAACCTTGTTCTGAGAATCAGATGAGATGGAAGAAGAAAGCCCTTGGCACAGAGCCTGCTGCCGCAGGGCGGGCGTGTGAGAACTGTGGGCAGTAATCTCTGGCTGCTCTTGTGAGGAGGGCCTGGGGCTGGGGGTCCAGGGCTCCCCTGGTGCCTGAGAGCCTGGCCTGGGGAGCTGGGCTCCCTGGAGTTCTCAGCTGCTGACAGGGTGAGGGTGGCCTCCGGCCTGGATGGGGCTGGGGCTGTGGTGTGGAGGTGAGTCTGTCTGCAGCTGAGGAGGCAGCAGGGCTGGCAGACTGTGTGGTCTTTGTAGGTTCCAGGGGACCTCTGAGGGCAGCCGCCCAGAGTGTAAGCCTGCGTGCCATCTGTGGCCCCAGCGTTGCCTTCTGCCCCTTGAGTTAAGAAGAATCAGTCCTGGGCTGAGACTTGGTCAGTCTGTTCCACTTGTGGCTGAGTGGTCTAGTTCCAGGAGAATTCGGATGGAGCAGGACCGGGGCTCCTGGAGAGGTTTAGGGCACAGAGGTGCAGGCGGGTGTAGGTCATCTGTCCGTGTCAGACGGCAGATGGAGAGGGGGCAGCTGGCTCAATAGACCCTCCACCCTGAGGACCCTACTTCCTACTGCACTGGCTGTGTGCAGGCCACAGGACTCGGCATTCTCTGAGCAGAGGGCTCGCCTCCTCTGGAAACTGCTTCTTCCTCGCCGTGTCCCTGGATTCCCGGAGGGAGGCAAAGGAAGAAGGGGGTGCTGGGGCAGCAAGGAGGTGGGGTGGCTGCACTCAGAGGGAGCAGGGCCCAGGAGGACCTCCTGGCCTCCACCAGGAAGGCCCCTTGGAGAGAGTCTGACCCGGGTCCTTAGCATCGCGACTTGTCTACCTTTGCAGCATCCTTGGCAGGACAAATGGAGGGAGAGCCACGCCACTGTCCTGGTCAGGACACACTGGTGGCAATGACCTTAACTCAGACAAAGCTGAGCAGAAGGAGACTCCTATGACAAGGAGGAACGGTGGGACGGTCACAGAGAGGAGTCGGGGCCTTGGGGGCTGGAACGGACTTCACACTGCGGGGGGCTTCTCTCCAGCAGTGTCTCCCCCCTTCTCTGCATGTTGGCCCTTTCTCCTCTGCAGCACGCAGACCCCCTCCCCTGCCGGGAGACACGCGCCAGCAGCCCCACATTAGAACTGTGTGGCAAAATCAGCCGATTTCTCCTGGTATTTGTGTATCAGTCCCAGGCCTGAGTTACGTGCCTGTGTGTGTCTCAGGACTTTTCCCCTTTAAACCAGGAGTCTGGGGAAGCTTGCTGGGGACACAGAATTAGCTACCAACACCCACCTGCCTAATATACTGATACACCAAGTTAGTGAGGAACCTGGCTCCAGATTAAGGAGCAGGAACAACTCCCACTGGCACCTACTCTGAGCCTGGCCCTGTGACTGACATCACTTACCTCATCCATCCTATGCTGACAAAAGCCCAGAGCAGAGCAGCGCCCTGACTGCTTGAGAAACATTGCTCAGGAGGAAGGGCCTGGCCGGCTGCAACCCTGGGCTCTGAAGCTGTAATCAAACGTGTGTCTGTGCTGTTGTCTCTTTGTTTACAAATGTCAGGTGGGTGTCCTCACCCTGTAGAAGTACTCGGATCCTGCGAGGCCCCAAGCCCTCCCCACGAACTCTGCTAATCTCTGGCACTCCTGGGTTCCTTAGTGACCCCTTTTTTTCTCTCCTCAGCCCTGGCAGAATTGGATTTTTATTTTGTAAATAAGAAATCTCACAGCAAGTGTTTTGTGACTGAAATTATTTTGATGGAGATTCGGGGCGGGGTGGCCCATAGCCTTGGGTGTGTGTGGCTGGCTCCCTTGCTTCGTCCCCTGCCATCTCTGGGCTCAGGAACCCTGATTTTCAGTCCTGAGTTATGTATGGGGCAACTCAGCTTACCCCAGCTTGGCCTCCCCAAATGTGCGTATCCAAACCTAGCAAGGTTTCTGGAAGTTCACAGGTCTTTCCTTTTAATAGGACCTGCTTACTCTCCTTAGAAGGCAATGGGGTGAGAATAGTCTTTTCCCAATATGTAAAGCTAGGATTATACTACACAGGCTGTCCCCGCTAGTGATATATCATGAGTACACTTATATGCCAACAGATACCCTCAGCATCAATTCTAATGGCTGTATAGGATTTCATCCTATAGACAGGCCATGACTGATTAATCTAAACCCCCTTTACTGCACCCATCAGTAATTTTGAAATTTCCACAGTTATGACTCATGATGTACTAATTATTCTTAACGTATGCCACAGAACCCCCAAGGTCATGACCCCTGAGGGCTATCCTGGGAGAATCACAGGTAATGGGCAAGGATCTACCTAATCATCCACCTGCTAATTGGGCAAATATCCATTCTTTCTCCCCTGTTACTAACGGTCATTTTGATCACATACTAAATAACTGCATATGTATTTGGATCAGTGTCTGGGCTTTCTCACATCATTCTGCCTGTTTTTGTGTCAGAACTGAAATGTCTGTTTTAGAAGTCTGAATACCGGCGGTATAGAGTTCAGTGGTCCTCAGGGTTTTCTAGGCTGTTCTTATCTGTTCATTCTTTTGGCTTCCCTGGGAACCGTTTTATCAAGTCTCTCCTCCATATCCCAAGTAAATTTCAGGATTGGCTTGAAACTGTATTAAACGTATGAATTACCTGAGATTGTATTAGTTACGTATTGCTGCATCACACATTACTCCAAGGTTTAGCAGCTTAAAACAGCACGTCTACGTCTCACATCCTTTCTGAGGGTCAGGACTCTAGGAACATCTTCACTGGGTGATTCTGACTCAGGGTCTCTGGTAAGGTGGCAGTGAAACTGTTGGCAGGGGCTGCAGTGAAACTGACCACATCCTCGGCCAGCCTCGCTCATGTAACTGTTGGTAGGAGGCTTCAGTTCCTTGACATGTGGCTTCCCCATGAGTGAATGATGAGAGAAAGAGAGAGAGAGGGAACCCGAGGTGGAAGCAGAAAAGTCTTTTATAACCTAATCTCAAAAGTGACAGACCATCACTGGCCGATCCTACTGATCATACAGACCAACCCTGACATGTGTGAGAGGCGTTAACAAGGTCAGGAATGCCGGGAGGCGGGGCTCATTGGGAAGCGTCTTGAAACTAGCACAGAGGTGAACTGAACATTTTTCAGTATTAGGTCTTTCTGATCATGACATGGTGTGTCCCTATACTAACTTAAATCCTAAGGATGCTCTCAGGGAGGACTTTTATTGCATTTTTTTTTAAGTGGCCAATAGCTTCTATTTTTTTCCTTACACACACACACACTTACCCCTGGAGAGTTCATAAATACTATGAAGAGTTCAAAAGGCTACTTAGTTACAAGATCTATGTCAAGAGGGCTCACTCCAAAACTTAGTTTCCCGGTTGCCATCTGGAACAGGAAGACTCTTTGGGGAAATTCTACAAGAGTACAGTGTGATAATTATCCTCATTATAATATGTCTACTAATTTTCTCTTTGAAAATTAAGAAAAAAATTTTATACCAGAGGATTTTTACTTGTCTTCATATAGGCCCACATATTGTTTGTTAAATTTGTTCCTATATTTCATATCTGGTTACTATTGTGAACAAGGATCTCTTTCACATTGTATTTTCTAAGTAGCAGTTGGTTGCACTCATACAGGGACACAATTGATTTTTATGGCCCTGATTTTTCACTGGAGCTTAACTGGTGACAAAGCAGAAATTCCTCTAGACTTTCACTGAGCCCTTGGATCCTAAAACTGAGACCAGGTAAGATTTTAAATGTGCTCTTGGGACCAACTCCCCCAAGTGACTATGTGCCAGGGAAGTGGGTGGGATGTAAGGGGTGGGCCTTCCAGCAGCCCATCTTGATGTGGTGACTGTTGTGCTCAGGACTGCCAGAGACAAAATAATGGGGTTCTCTGGCTATCTCTCCACCTTGCCTTCCAGGGAGCACAAGTTCTAGCCTTCCTGGCTACGCCTTACGTCTGGCTTTGCCTGCACGTCCCTCTCTGGGGGTGGGCATCCGTGTGGACAAGGCTGTGTACGTCCTGCCCCACCAGCACTGACCTCCAGAGGCAAATTTGTTGTGGTCACATTTTAAAACCTCTAAAATACATTTTATTTCAGTCACATGAATTACATACCTTATCCACTGTACAAAGCAATACAGGATTGTCTAAAGTGGTCTCCCTCCCATTTCCAGGAAGAAAGCAAGAAATCAAGTGTGTGTTCTTCCGTATTTTTTCCCTTTGTCTATACAAAAATAATCAAACATAGAATTTTTAATATGGATTGCACAGTACCCAATATTCTGCATGTGGCCTTTTCATTTTTCCACCGTGGACATTTTCCCTGGCCAAAGCAGATAGACTCCAAGCTCTGTGATAAGTGTTAGTTTTCCTTACTGGGCAGCCCCCAACCCACTGAGGATCATTCAGGTGGTTTCCAGTCACTTGCAACAACATTGCGTGCTCCTGCCCCCAGGGGCAAGTGTGTTAACATGCAAAGTTAAAAATATCAGATGGGCCAAAGTGAGGTAGGAAGCCCCATGAAAAAGACCAGCAGGACCCCCAGGCAGGGCCATCAGTCTCCTGCCAGCACCATCCGGTTCCCTGGCCCACCGGCATTATCTCACTTTTTGCCTCTGTAGCAGCTTGCTTTTAGGAAAGCAAAACTTACTCCTAAGATTCTATTGGGTCCCTGAGCTAACTCCTGATTGGTCCATTTCTATCACTCCTGAATGGTCCATTTCTACAAAGTTCATTCCTAATTAGTCAACTTTGTTATACTTTATTTACATATGATGTTGCAAAGTCTAGACTGGCAGCCTATAAAAAGCCTGTGTAAACCTACAGATGGGGTCCAGAGCTTGGAGTGTTAACTCCTGTGGGCTCCCTGGTATCATAAACCTGAGTTCTCCAATCCTCCCAGTGGTCTGTCCTCCAGATCCAGGTCTG